TTATTTAGTTAGTTACTATGTAGCAATTTTCAAAATTTTTGAGCAAAAGACCAGAAGTAAGTAAATAGAATTTAATTTATTTTTTTTAGAGAGTGGTATGATGGTCATGCACTTCTAATGCAAGAAGAAGGTGTTGTTCTGTCAGGGCTTCTAGTTGGTGTCAATGTTATTGACTGTAATTTTGATCTAAAAGGCGATGATTTAGATACTTGGGTAGGTACAACATGCTTCTTTGAAGTTTCCTGTACCATCTTGAGAGGTTACAGTTGTCAGTATTAAAGTGAAAATATATTAGCTACCCTTAATCCTGCAATGATAGAAACCACTGAATATATCTCAGTTTATAAGTGTGAAAGAGGGTTTCTATAATATAAATTTGTATGTTTACCAGCTGTCTTGCTTTGAATGGCTGGGTGCAGTTACTCTCTTCAAGATATCAATCATATGGAATGATGAAATATACTTACATATTACATATAAGAGCTACTATTACATAATTATGCCATATTTGATAACTTCAATTTTGATTTTTTTTATCAGTCAGGTGTTCTTGATCTCAGTCTTTATCTTAAAGAAGGAAACTACTTGGAGAAATCTAGCAATGAAGACAAGTAAGGTTTTAAAAGTTAATATGGTATCCACTTTACTGTGAGTCATAACTGCTTTAGCCATAATCCTTAATAAGTCAAGAAAACTTGTTGGGAATGGATGAATGAATGAATGAACAAATGATTCAATGAGTAGATGGGTATTAAAACAAATCTTTAAATAAATTAATTCATAATTGAATGAACAGATGGATGAACAAATAGATGGACGAATGAATGAAGAAATCCTGTACTACCTTTTTCAGGTCAACATCAGGAACAAGCACAGACCTAACAATACTCATAGATCAAAAAACCTACTTGGAAGAAGTCAATAAAAACCTCAGGTAAACACACACACAAAACAAAACACTCTACAGGGCATTTATCCTCTTCACTAGACTCCTTGCTGCCTTTTCAGCCTTTGTTGTCTCCATGAGTCTACTTCTACATGAATTTCTTTAATAACTTATATTATAAGTTTTCTTTAATTTATAACTTTATTTATCATGTACTTTGTAGCTCCATGGTAGCTGATTTGCAAGCAAGAGTCAAATCCTTGCAGCAGAAAAATCAGGATATCATGAAAGAGGTAAGATTCAAGGCCTTTTCTCAATTATATTTAAATAACAATGGTTGAGTTTATCTCTTTTTGTGCATTAGCCTCAATTGTRTTTAAAATATRCAGACATTTAGATAAAATTTGGTGAGATTTCAAACTACTTTCAATGTCTTGTGTATACTCACGGATCTCTTGCATTTGCATGGGCTGTTACTTAATAAAAGTACATGTATGATTGCATGGTTTATATGAGGCTAACACAGTGTAAATGAGATCACTCAAAGAGTTTTTTATATAGCAAAAGATGAGTCTGAAATGCAGCATTTCAAAACTAGTATGTATATTAGAGCCATTTCAAGTTTTTGATTTTTGTGTTAAATTGATGTATTTTAGTATGAGGACCATCAGAAGACATTTGAGTCTGTTTCCAGTGAAAGAGACAAACTAAAGGAAGAAAATGCTAATATGAATCAACTAAGTGCCAAGAAAATCCAGCTTGCCCAGGCTGACATTGATATAGAGAGAGAAACCTATCAAAAATCAAGGTATACATAAAAATCAAGGAGTATTTAAATTAATTCAAACTTGTAAGTTAGACTCTCTTTGGGCAAAGCACAAAATCCTACACTTAAACTAAAAAATGGGATATTAATTATATGAATATGTAAACATGTTTTGAATAATATTAATATTACTAACAGTGTCAACTGTGTGATCTGTCTTGTAATTTGATTTCGGTACTATAACTCTTTAACTTCTGTAACTAACTAGTAATTTCTTTCATATCAGGGAAGGATTGAACGATATTGTTGATGCTGCTCAAAAGCAACTTGAGCTTGAGATCCAGCTTAGAAAGGTACCTACGGCCATTGTTTGTGCGATGAATAAATAAATGACTGACTTGAGTGAATTGGATAAATGGATGGATGAATGAACTATCAACTAAATAAATGAATAAAAGAATAAACAGATGAATGGATGGGAAAATGAATAAATGGTACGAGAGACAAAAGAAAAAATAAATAAATAGACTATAAATCCCTTTAGGACTGCCGCTAATTGCAATAAAAATACATGTAATTGATTATCTATTCAGGAAACAGAGCGGGAATTAGAAATGACGAGGATGATGAAGGAAGAGAGTGAGGTAGCTATGAGACTATTAGAAAAAGACATCCATGACAAACAAGACACTCTGATAGTACTACGACGTCAGCTGGACGACATCAAGAAAATCAACCTAGATTTACATGGTAAACTTAAGGTAAATAATAACTGAGAAAATGCAATTTTTTATTTGTGTCTAGATAATGGCTGCCAAGGAAGTACAGCCTTGGGGAGGGAGGGAGGGAGAGAAGGTGGTAGAATTGATACCAACTCAAGTATGATTATAGCATATTAGCACAATAGTATAAACATACTAATGGTCTATCACTCATACTGCGCTGTGATTGGCTACTCTACTAATGGTCTAGTTTGTGATAGACCACTCGCGGGAAAATCAAAATAAATAAATTATAGATTATAAATTATTTTAAGGATATTTCAATTTGTTTTCATTATCTGACCGATTAGTATGTTTATACTAAAACAATTAGACCTCTCAGCCTCGTGGACTACGAGCKAATAGCCCATTYGGCCTCGCGGACTTGGCCTCATGGGCTRTTAGCTYGTAGTCCACTCGACCTCGAGGTCTAATTGTTAATTAGCACAATAGACCTTTGTACTTTATAGCTATTAATATTCYGATTTTCCAMTTCCACTAATTTTTCCTATTTGTAAAGCACTAGATAAGGAATATATTTTAATGTTTTCAGATGTGTGAAACATCCAACAGACAACATATGGACAAATGGTCAGAGTTGGAAGAAAAATGTGCCAAATTTGTCAGTAAAATAAAAGACCAAGAACATTAGTAAGTATTTTACACATTGTTTTTTTCTAATTCTCATCAAATTACAAACTTAAAACAGATGAACTTATAAAAAAGTGTTGGGTGTTAATCATCCTTCATGGTAGCATGGGTGTTGAATTTCAAAAGACGCAGCTTAACGCGCTCTCAAGTCTATATTACAGTGCTATATTACAGACACATATTACGTACACTTACACATAGGCGTGCTGCCGGTTAGGTGCTTCCTTTACATAGCAACATTGACTGAACACGGAGCACAGCAGATAGAATGGTTTGTTTTTATTAAGAGAGGAAAATCGAAAAAAAAAACAACAGAAAACCCTTGAAGCAAGGGAGAGAACGAAAGAACTAAAACTCAAATCAGATATGGCGTCCCAACTCAGATTTTAACAGGGTCCACAGAAGTCACAGGCCAGCGCTCTCAACGCTTGGCCACCCTTGATTCCCTTATTTATTATTTGATATATCTTTTTTCATTCAATGGTTCATTATCCAAATGTTATCCCTTCTGTTTTTAGTGTAAAGTCATGTGYTGAGGAGAAGGTGAAGATGGAGCATAGAATTGAAGAGATTGAAAGCCGATTAGCCGATACTGATAGCAATAGGTATGCTTGGCTCATCTATCTATGAAGTATATTTAATAATTGGTTATCCATCCATTTYATATATTTCCCATCCATTTCCCATCCATTCATTTATTTATTCCATTTTATCCCATTATTCTTTCTTTCAAATTTCTATTCATTTTTTATCATTTATCCATTTTACTCACCCATCCATATGCTTATTKTTCTATTTGTTCATCCTTCCCTTCATTTACTCATCCATCTCTTTATAAATTTATTTATCTGTCTATCAAATATTATTGATATATCAAAACATGCACCTTACTGTCTTCTTTAATTTCTGCAGATTAGCACTAGAAACAAACCTAAAAATTGAACGAGAGTGGAGGACAAACCTACAAGAAGAACTCCACAAAGAGAAGGAGAAAACAGGTGCCATGCAACAAACACTGAACCAGYATGAAAATCTTAAAAAGGTGAATAGACATCCCTGGTCGCTATTTTTTTCAAACACACTTGTTTTGAATAAAGTAAAGAAGTATGAAGCGATGAACTTCTGTTGGTAAAGTGATTTCATCTGGTGTTTTTGGCAAACAGTGGTTTTGGCAAACACTGCTTTCATCATGATTAAGAAAAACCCATGTTTAACTTACTGGAAGATGAATTTGACATAATTTCTTCAAAGTAAACTTAGTTCATGTGATTTATCCTTTTTAACAGGAATATCAAGGACTTTTAGAAAAGCATTCAGCCTTGAAGAAAGTACATAGCGACCAAGAAATGGTATGAAACTGTTGAAATGGTTTAAACTGTTTGCTGTTAATCTTCATCAGAAACTCAAGAAGTGATTGCATTAAATAATCTATTCCTTGTTAAAACACACAAAGAATTACTTAGTACTGTTACCTAGTAAAAAAACTGCTCCAATCTCTCAAAAACAAGACCATTCAAAAACTGTTATCAAAATAAAATTTGTTCACTGTTCCAGAGCTTACTTCAGTGTATTAACATGAGAATCCCCTTCAAAGTTTCCATTTTGATTTGACATGTTTACGATAGGGTGTAAATTCTGTCATTTTTGTATTTTAGGCTCTGGTAGAAATGGGTTCCCATCTCAGCAAGTAAGTCTCTAGAGCTATCAAATAATGTGATAATATTTACATGGATTATTAATGAAAAACAGTTGTATATCGTTCAATGAGGATAGGGTCATTTTCATTTGTCACTTAATGATTAATGTCACTGATGGTTGGTATTACACAGACTCTGTAAATCTTTTTTTTTTACAAATAAATACTAAATAGTCTAAAATTTCAAGTTGTACATAATTATTAAATAAAAACAACTTCAGAGCTGTTAGTTTTTAAACTGCTAATACTTTTCTTATATCTAGTTCACAGCTCAAAGTAGAAGAGATGAAAGAAGTTACAAAATCAATCAAGGTAAGCTACTTAAAACGTTTTCTTCATCTGAATTTAGTAACCATTCTAACTGAAGCCTCCTTTTCTATCTCTTTTGCCATGCTTCCTGGGAGGAACAGGGAGCCCAACAAAAGAAGAGGCAATGAGCTGGGAGAATATGCTAACTGATGTGTATGAAAATTACATTTTTTTATAGGATATGAAGTGGGCAGAAGACAAAGAGGCTGCAACCTGTCAGTTATGTGAACAACCATTTTCTTTGTCACGTCGGAAGGTAAAAACACAAAGGTTAAGTCACTAAATGACCTAATCCTCCATTTTTCATTTACCAAAAAAGTATGTCTTTGCTGTGAATGATAGATACCTTTTGCTAAACCAAAGACAATTATTCACACAAGCTGTCTTACTTTGATTCAAAAGCTCAGTTAAAGTTACCTTAAGTTTCAAGACTGGGCTCTGGAAACTATAAAATGAAGTATTAAATTATAACTTAGGCTGATTAACGTATCCTGTTTTTATTGCAGCATCATTGCCGTAACTGCGGTGGCATCTACTGTAAYTCATGCTCTAGTAATACCATGCCATTACCATCATCGGCCAAACCAGTGCGCGTTTGTGATACGTGTCACACTACACTCCTTCAGAGGTACCAAAGATGACGATGATAAGAATTAAATGGTTATTATTAATTTCTTAGAGAAGCCAATTCATTAGAATACTTAGTATCAACTGACACCCCTGGAAAAAGAAATTCCAGGAAAAAGTATGAACTTTTTTTGAATAAGTAATTAATTATTATACAACTTTACCCTGCTTCAGAGGTACCAAAGGTGACGATGATRATAATTAAATGGTTATTATKAATTTTTTTTGTCAACCTCTGTGTAGTAACAGACTTGYCAATAGTCTTCTTCACGGTTCCCTGCGCCATCTTGAAAGGTAGCCATGCCTTTACATTGAATCGAGACGACCRTTGAGCGTACAACAATAGAAACCTTCTTTCACACCTACAGACAATTATTCACAGGTATCTATCATTGCACCCTCAACGGTTGTCTCGCTTCGATGCAAMGGCAGGCTACCTTTCAAGATGGTGCACATAACTGTGAAGGAGACTATTTCACCTCTCAGCAGTCCAAACACAAAAGAATGAAGACTATGAGCATAAAGTTCAATCACTCGTGAGAAACTATTGTCTTACAATTATAGCATTATGCACCACAGTCTATAATCCTTTGTACGAAGAGTACTTTCAGGCAAATTAGTCAATTATTATTAGACAATTTATTGAAAATACACATGCACTAGATTTTTTATACAATTTCAAACTTTTTACCCAATACTACTGTCAAATAGCATATCAAATTAGRTAGGTGTTTCTGGTATAATCAGTTACTAAATGAAATTGTATTGTCTATAATTAAATAAACATATTTATAATGTGAATAGACTAGCTTGAAAAATAATGAATTAAAGAATTATGATATTTTATGGACTACTGATATTAAATCTTTCTATACACAAAAAGGTTACAAAAATATTATATATTTCTAGGACTACAACACTGTTTACATTTAATAAGAAATATCATAAACATTACTGTTTATTGTACATACAATAGTTTAAAAAGACTTTACAAAAATGATAAAATTTCTTGACATTCGAATATCACTCAGAGATATGAGTTCCTTAGAGCTAAGGTATTAAGATTAACCARTTAAATTATAGAAACCCACGGCCATAGCTCGGGATTAAAGCTCACTTGACTTGCCCGATCCAGCATCTTAAAGGTGATTCTATTTAACACATGAAAAAGTTTGTGGCAGGTTTTTTCTTCTAATAGTACTAACTGTTTTTTGTTAAATAAACAGTTGTGTAAAAAGATAAATCTAATACTGTAAAAAAGTAGGTAAAACAACTCCTTTTTACGGTGTTAAATTTATCTTTTTACAAAAATGTTTCTTTAGAAACACCGATGAGCACTGCTCACACTAGTTTACCGCTAGTAGCCACCATTTTGTTAAATAACATCACTAAAATGGTAATGATTTCACAAGCTTTGTACAACAATTATATACATGCAAGTTAATTAGCCTTTCATTAGATTTTTTTATGTCTGGGATACATGAATTTTCAACTGCTTATTCTTATTATTGCCAATGAGTTATTAAATTTGCTAAAAAACTGTTGCTTAGAAGACACATTCAATCTGGATCCTATGTCACCTTAAACTACTGCCTCTGACGACATCATTCACTTATCACGGTCATGGATCATGGTAATTTTTTAAGAGAATTATCTTCAATGTCTGTAATAAAAAGCCGATTTCCTCTACAACAAAAGGAAGACTGCAGACAATATTTTACTGTATATTGCCAGTAATGATGCCTCTACACATTGTAGTATTACTAAATCCACACTATATCAGCTTGATTTAAGTCCATATATAAACCAGAAAAGATATAATAGACAGAAGACCTAGTGATACACCTCTCAGTGATGTTCCTATAACAATAAAGACAAGATAATGAATGTAAAAATATAATAGAGTATAGTTCATATTATAGCTCAATTCTAATGTGCACTGATTGGTGGATTTCATGAGAAAAGCTATGGCCTGCAGTCTAAAGACTTTTGAGTCTAAATGCAGGTGGATGCTGGCTATAATATAAAAGMAATAAAAGATAGCTTAAAGCAGTTTACTGGTGAAATAAACCGCTTGGGATGGTTGCAGGGAGAACACTCGAAAAGGTAAATCACTCGCCTGATGGCGTGGCAGTAAACTGCTTCAAGCTATCGGGTTTTTTTTGCTTAAATATACTTTTTATTATTCTAACAATAATTCATGTTTGTGTTCTTTCATACCTTGCGCTGCCCACTTTGCTCTGAAGCCCTTGTATGTATCATAGGCATCAGACCTGAACACGACCTTCATATATCTACTTTTTGTTTTAATCTCGTTAGGAGGCTTTGTACAGTAATGACCTTCAAAATAAATGACACAACTCATTAGTGGATCCAGCTCATGAATATCAGCTTGCACCCCCTCCCCCCTGTGACCTCTGTATGACAAAGTCAACTCTTGCTTTGCAACAACAACAACAACAACAAAAAACCCTGAAAATAACTTCATTTGCAGCTGATACTTGGTATTAAAACAATAGTCTTCTTCACGGTTACCTGCGCCATATTTGAAAGGTAGACGTGTCTTTGCATTGAAGCATGACAACCATTGAGCGTGCAATGATAGAAACCTTCTTTAACACCTACAGATTATTTACAGGTATCTGTCATTGCACGCTCAACRGTTGTCTYGCTTCAATGTAAAGGCATGGCTACCTTTCAAGATGGCGCACATAACCGTGAAGGMSACTATATTATATGTCCTTAAAGACGCCAGTAATTTTATTGGTGCAGAGCACATCCGTCTGACGGGAGCACTGCACCCCTCCATGACAAAAAACCTTGATATAAGCAACAATAGCATTTAAAATGTGACTAACAAAGAAAGCCCAATCAAGGCCAGKTACTCATGTTAACTAATACACAGGAAGAGAGTTTAGTATTTTGTAACATCAATGGAAAAGTCTGTCATATATTTTTGTGAAACTTCTTACCTATTGATTGTTTGGTTTGGAATCCATCAAAGACTTCCACATAGTCGTTTGTACATTCGCTTTCCTCCAATTCAAATTCAGGAAATGTAATTTTGACAGATGAGTACTTGACAGGCACCGTTATGTACCACACGCTGTCTGCTCCGTTAGGATAGCGGTCAGGAAAACCAGGTGACTTGATTTCTCCAGATACACCAAATAATTTCTCAGTAATATCTGATAAATGGAAGAATTAGAATTAGAACGTTAGAATGAAATGCTGTGACTATCAAGCACTTGTGTGGACCTATACATAATTTACTAACAGATTTCAGATTTATTGACTTGCATTGTATTTTATCGGCAGGTTCAAAGCCTCCTTGGCAGACGTTTAATAATGTCTGCAAAAGAGTCTATCTTAACCTAAACCATTTTAATGAAAATGTGAATACGTGGGGCATCAATTTATAGCTTTCCAATGAATAATGTGCACACAATTCAACCACAAACTYACTTCCCAAGAATGTTGTTTTACACTCTCCAAGGCCAGTTAGATTCTTSGCCATCATGGCTACKGTGTCCACAATATTTGCTATAAACYGCMCTCTCAATAAATTCAAATGGCTGTAATCATCACATGCATTACGGAAACAGTACTTCATGTAGCCTCGTAAATTTGCTGTATCTGTCAGGAATATTGATTTCACCATTGGATCATTATTCCAGAAACTGTAATGGTCRCCWTTGAACAAGTCTTGGTAYGCTCGTTTGGCTTTTGGCCCAAGTCGCTCAGGTTGTTCTTGAAGTGGCCACGTAAACTTTCTTAACTTAAAATTTCCTGTGATTGATAAAAAGTATTAGAGATGGCACAGGAAATCATGACGTTGAATATCACTTACCACTTGCACTGTTGCCCGTATTATAATACTCYGAGAACTTATTRAGTAAATATGTATCCCCGTCTTGACGGCCAATAGACAAAATGAAATCCCCACGGTTACCATCCCTTTCTATTGCCCTCACAACATCTCTTATTGAGCTGTCAACATCCATCTTCAATTCCTTTGAAAAGTTTTGAGATTGCTGTCCTTGATCAAAGTTCATGATACTTCCAAGAAYGAYAGCACCTTCGATTTCACCATTTCCTTTGTYCTGGCCAAGTTGCTGTGTGAATTTTTTTATGAATGCCTTGCTTCCATGGTAACAACAAGTGAAGTTGCCGCATAAACATTGCTGTGATTGRTCAAAGGCCACAAATATGATAGTYTTGTTCTGTTCACAGGTTCGGTCTAGAAAAATAAATAGGAATAATTCCAAATTTCATAAACTTGATCATTGTATGCACAGCTAGTTTGTTTACCAGTTTACTGAGAATTTATAAGCATGGAAACTTGTACATGTGAGTCACTGTGACAGCAGGAGAATATGAAAACATTTTTTTTGTGCGTATGTTTTTTTGTTCTCTCCACATAAGCATTAAAATGCTACAGTATCTGGTTGATGATAGCCCTCATGGTATTCACCCTTTCCACAAAACTTGTCCAGGAAAGACATATGACTCGCACTTTTTATAAAGCAACACACCCCTCTTTTYCCTGTTTTGTCCAAGGAATAATACAATATGAAACTTCCCAATCATCTTGGCCAACGTCTGCATAAAGATATGGTTGTTGCAGCTAGGATTCATAGTCAATATAAATATCTAGTTGTCTCTAGCTTTTAGGAATTCTATGAAAACCACTTATGTGATAGTTTTTCCTAAATAAAAGATTGTTATTATTATTATTAGCTTAATTCTTTTTTAATAACAGACATTTTGATCTGGTCTCAGATCTTCCTTGTGCAAAATAATCCRTTATAATGTCAGTTATAAATTAAGCTAGTGACAACTATATATATTCTATATGAGTCACCTTCAGTTTGTCTGTAGTTTTCTCACCTTTATCAGAGTACTGTCTAGCAACTTGTAACATGGCTGTTACACCAGATCCACCGGCATTAACCCCAGGAGAAGTCTTATAAGTGTCATAATAAGCTCCAATAATAAGAATACGGTCATTGACTGTGTTGACAAATTTTCCATCCTTTCTTGCRACCACATTGATTCCTGTCTCACCCTGATAATTACAACATAATAAACTTCATGACAGCTCACTCTCGAAGCTACTGTTCATTTGGGTAAACTACGTGTAGCTGGGAACTTAATACTAAACATTCTGACAAAAAGTGAAAACATTAAACTAGACTGCATGCAGACAGTTTATATTACTTGTCAATGATTCAAAGATGAAACAGAGTTCAAGCTCCAGTAGACTTACACAAAAGAAAACAATGTAATTGGCAACTGCTATAAGGTGTTAGTTGACAAGTTTAAAAAACAAATGACAAATGAAATGTTTACTTATGAGTACATGTGGTCAGAACTAACCTGAGAATCAGGCTCTCCAACCCTCCCCCCCGAAGGCCTGATACTCAGGTTAGGTCAGAACTCATTTTCAAGCTTCAAAAAAGATCATTAAAATGCAAATCAATATTATAAAAAAAATCACTGTATGTCTCTATGTTTTCCCCTTCATTTGTAGTTTGTTTGAGCTTGAATGAGCCCCAACTGTCTCCTCATACATGTACTATGATAAACATAGTCAAAGAAATTACTTACCCCATCATAACTAAAATCCTGAAGCTCTGTTGTATATCCTTGCTTATCCAGCGTTTCCCTAATAAAATTCCTTGCTCTTTGCTTGCTATCCAAAATACTTTCTTTACTTCTACTTGTGTTGAATTTCTTTAGAAGATACTGTACTGATTGTACATTATTTAAGGCTATTGTATTATCTAAGTCTGGAAAAGATATCAATTATTGTAGCTGGTCAACTTCAGGGCAAAAATCAATGTCAGATGACTGGGCTGAGCAGACAAGATATTCAGCAAACCTCAAGTTTGAATGGTATATTTGAACTTAAAAAATATCCATTCAAACAAAGATTTGATCAGTTCTTATTTTGAAGGGAATCCACAATGAGTTCAGTGTCAAGGCAGAAAAATATTTTCATGCATCATATAATTTTCGGGCTGAGGAGTAAGATTTAATTAATAGCAAACTCTGTACAGCAGTTTTAATTATAATATATCAAACTATAACAACTGGCAGGGTTTTTATAATAAGTACTAGTTGCCAAAAAAATAATTAACAGGAAAAATGCGTTTTTCAGGGATTAAAAAAAAAATTCAAAACCAATTCAGTGCGACATTTTTCCCACGTGACGTAATACTACTGTTGAATCCTTAAGAATCACATACCGTAAACATGTCAAAACTGGGGCTAAATAATCATTATGCTTTGCTACAAATTCAAAACACGAGGATATATGCTGTTGCAGACTTATGAATCATTCATTTTAATACATCTGCTTTCAAACAACCTAATTATAAGCACCCATGAAGGCCCCATGAAGTAGATCGAACGGTGAGCATGATTCGAACGTTCGATCAAAGTTTCTAGAAGTACATTTCGTAGCTTTGTCGTCGAAATATAAAACCCTAAATAACTTTGAACATTAAACGCTATTGTTGCAGTGATATTTCTGTTTTTTTTACAAAGTTTTTGTTTGTTTTCGAAGGAATATGCAAATAAGGCATGTCGGAAGGAGACTTTTTTGACATTGGAATGGCTTTTTCGAATAAATCAAAATAGCTGGAAAATATGACGACTAGTGTTGCTTAAAAAAGMTTATTTRGGTCGAATATACTTTGTACTTACTTGCTAGGAGAAATACTAGGGCAATCATCAAATTAAGCGGGCAAAATAGCCAAACTCGTTGCAGCCTTGCTTCCATAATAGCGAACGAGCTTTACAATGCTAAAACTTGACTTGAATCCGAATAACAGTAAACTTTTACATTTCATTAGGATTACAACCTTTCTCGGCAAATAATAAATGCCTGGAAAAACGAAAACTTGTCTGGCTTATCGATAAAATTCGATAACTCAACGACCAGTGACTCTTGCTACTGTTGACGCTTGAGTGAATCTCAGAAAACCGCGCGCGTCACGCAATGTTGGGTACACAGGGAGCCCGCTCAGACGTGGGCCTTTAAACACGACAAATACTTCACACTCCACACAACTACAATAATCAACATCATTTGGAAATTTTCTTGTTTTTAGAAGATAACTAACAGCTATTATCCTAGTATTACAACAGCAAACTAGTATAAACGATACAAAATAGCATTTCAAAGATAAATATTATATATATATTCTATTAATGAGATTTTTATTTTAATTACAATGCCCCACAAGGAACTGGATTTCTTCCATTCCTGGGGGCCCAGGCGAAACCAGGGGCAATAATTTTGCAAAAGCAACCATCTTAATTTTAATTTCAAAACAGTATACTCRATTCTATTATTCAAGTCTTCTTCACAGACAACATATCTCAGGATTCCTGTGTCAAGCCAAAAAGTGTAACCTGTGGGGAGAGGGGGTAAGGAAAAAGTGCAGTGAAGAAGACCATTGCATCATAGTGAAAAAATATGTACCATTTCACAGACTGGGATTTGATTTAGGACATAAAAAAATGAAAACAAAAACAACGACAAAACTAATTGACGCTATGACTGTTTCTCRAAGTAGTCAAGTTTGTCCAAGAAACTGTCAGGTTGCATTACGTCTTCARGAATATCAGATGGAAGAGCAGCCTGTTCTGGTGCATCTGGTTCACTATCTGTGTCAGCATCATATCGGTGATAAAGCTGATAAAGATAGGAATAGAGCTTGATATGAACTGAAGATGCTGCAGAGATTTCTTTCCCGTACTTGCAGAGAATTCCCCACATCTCCCCTGAAAGAAGAAAAAAAAATATTGATACTTTTCTTTTTGCATTTTTAGATTCTCGAACCACCATCTCTAAATCAAATGACAGCAAACGAGACCATTCTTATAATATGTTCTGGCTATTCATTCTATACCAGTTGGCGTAATGCTGCCATATAAAAAATGGAAAATTTTTAGAGTTTTTTCTGTCGTTCTTACCAACTGTTATCCCTTTTTCTTGTATAAAAGTATGGACATCMAGAAGCTCTTCTGTTAGATCCTATGAAACAAGTCAGAGTTATCGCACMATAATGTAATACAAAACACAATATCACGTTATCAAATGAATAAAGGTAAACACAATGGAAAATTATTGCCGTGACTGCATCTTTATTTGAGCAAGAGATTTGTCCTGATTTGCATACGACTTTAACTTCGATTTTCTCTTACAAATGATATTTTATCCTGAAGGTTTTTGCAAAATATGCTTTACCTTATGTTGGAATTTGATAAGCAATATAAAATATTTGCGTCCGACCTTTTATGGGCTCTAAAACTACTTGCTTATATATCACAGTTTTATTTAAGAAATATAAAACGGCGCGCGTGTCTCTGTCCTCTGATATAAACACGGTGGAAGTTCGAAAAGCACGAGAGAAGCAAGCTTAGGAATACGAGCGTAGCGAGTGTTTCTCTTGCTTCTCGAGTGTCTTTCAACTCCCAACATGTTTATATCAGAGGACAGAGACACAAGCGGCCGTTTTATATTTCTTTTATAAAATTTTTCGAGCGAAAAGAAAATTTTGCTGGTAAGCCGTGTCTCTGTCCTCTGATATAAACAGGGTCATCAGCCAATCAGAGCGTTATATATCAAAAATTTTATAAATGCCCTTAAAGGTCTCCTGCTCATATTTTATATATTACAAAAAATATCACTGAGTTATTTATTCCTTACCGAATCACCAAATGTAAAATACACAATGTCTCTATCAGTGGCTGCTGCCGCCATCATTTGCAATATTGCTAAAACAAAAATAAAAGTATTAAAAACAAGTACCAACAATACTTATAATTAGTGTTACAATTATTAAGAATGAATACCTTTAAGGCGAGAGTCCCCTCCAAATGCTCCACAGCCCCAGTTTCCTGGAATAAGATTATAACGGCTTTAAAGAGAGACTGAAGTATGCAGCAGTTCCTCACCCCACCCCCTGAATTTTTCTACAGGGGGACAATAGGGGGAATTATTGCACTCAGGCTTAACTTTAACTAGCACTAATTTTTTTCCAACATATTCTTTTACATCAAAGAGTAATTTGAGTCAGACGGGTTTTCTTACTAACCTGTTGCTATTGCAGGGAGGAATTTCTTTTCAGATGGACAAAAGAATCCACAATACGCCTTAACAAGATGACCATATAAAATGATGTTATTGGAGGAGCTTTGAAAGGGCTAGCCAGGAAAATATTTTATCCACAGAAATCAAAACCATCAAGACAATACAATAAGAAGAATTTTCATCATACAAATTAAGTCATTTATGTCAATAATTTTATGACTTTTCTTTGGGTTTTTCACCAATAAACAATAGAAATGTATCCTTTATAGCTTGAATAATGAGTTTTACATAATAAATGATTTAATAACAAGCTTTTTAAAACAAGGCTCACCTTATCTAATTCACGCTTCAAGAAACCAGTTCTAAACTGATCAGTATAACTACGAAAGACTTGAGCATCAATTGCAACAACTTGACAATGTCGGCGTCCCCAAGAGTCCCTAATATGAACATGATAATGGTTTAGCATCATTTAATGTATAGACTGCTCAAATGGTTTAAATATATTAACCATACCTGGGAGTTTGATCGTCATGGTTACCTGCCCACTTAAATGTGTGCGCATATCCTGTATAGTCACTGTAACGCTGGGCACCTATGAACCAAAACAGTAAGTTTTCATTGTATTATTA